AATTTCTCACATGTTAGGTGATTGGCTTTTGTAAGAAAAATTCTTTGTAAATATAGAGAACTTGAGTTAAAAATAAAGATTATTCTAATCTTCATTTCATCTTAATTAACCTTTAGAGAATCAAAGTTAAAAAAAGCACATTAACCTTTTAGTTATTATTATCCTGTACTTATTACCTAACTCACTGTTTAATTTTCAATTGCATGTAGATGACGAGAGATAACATGGTTTATAAACTTTTACCTGTGGGGCCAGTGTAATACGCAATTTGCCTTCAATTTTGAACGAAAAATCAAACAGATTCAGAGAATTAGAAACATGAACATCAAGATAATTTATTTGCAGTGACTACTACATAATCTTCAGATAGGAAGTCACATGCAAACTCACTCAGTAAGGAAGCTGACACGTTCAGCTAGAGGGGTGAGTCCAAGCAGGCTCAGAGCAAAAATCCAAGGCTACAGATGGTAGAAAATTAATCAAACACTTCATGCCACAACATTTTCATGTTAAAGAACCATTCTTATGTAGACTAATTAACATTATGGTATATATGGAAGAAGTAATAACTTGAAAATGATGAAACATTTTGTTTCATATATACACTTACCCTTCCAAGGCCATAAAAATCTGCAACAACAGCTAAAGGGACAGCAGGAAAAAGCACTGCAAGCTTAGTGCCGAAAACAACCTCTTTCAAATTTGCTGTGAAACTCCTAAGCCTTTGGCAGTGAAGTTTGGTGACCAGAAATGGACACTTCTTTGTCAAAGTTGAAGATGTGAGGTTGTTCTGTTCCTGTGGTGGTGGTGCTGCTGTCTTTGCACATGTTGCATTGCTGTTGTTACAAGGCTCAGTGTTCATCTCCAAGATGTTGAAGTCCTCCTCCATGGTGTGGTGTGCCATTTTAGTGGAACCAAACCAAGACTTTTGTCAATTCTCTGTAGTGATACGTGAATTGAATCAAGTAAAATATGTATATATCCTCTACTATTGGTTATAGTGAGAAATCTAGTGTGCAGACCCCTATTATTTACACGTACAATGTAGCTTCCATTCTCTTGCAATGAGAAGCCGTATGTAACCATGTACAATGAAGCTCTTTTGAAGAACTTTGAAGTTTCGAGGAATTTTCAGCTCTTGCTAGCTAGCTTGAATGTTTCACTATTGGATGTTAGTAGTGAATAATATGAAGTGCTTAACTTTTGTAGTATGAATGATTATTACTAATGGTACCATTACTGTTACCATTACGGTTAATATTGATAATAACAGTGACAATAATTATAATATTTGAAAGGAACAATGCATTTTGATTCCATTTTTAACTAGCACTGATATATGTTTTTCCAGTGACGTAAATTAAGCACCAAAATCCGTAAGTAAAATTGTGGTAATTATTCAGAGAAACAACGAATAGGAACGTTGGTCTATGTAGCAGTTAGCTTCTTCTTAAAGACTGGCTAAAAGGACGAAGTTTCCTTCTATATAGTACTCTATATACTTATAGGCTACGTACCTTGATAAAAAAAATTATTGACAATAATTTGGATTGTTTAGATTTAAATTTAACATGGTAAATCATGTAATTGAAATTCAATCACGTTTCTGTTACAAAAATAATATTTGCTGCAAAAAGAAATTAGAAAACAAAAACAGTTTCTAATTTGAATATACGGTACAATAAAAAAATATTTAAAGATTGTCCAAGTAGGAAACTTACAGTTAAGATAGATTTAAACTAATTAATAATTAAAATGCCTAATTTGAAGTAATTATGAGATGGGTGAACTGTGGCAACATTTCTTCAAAAATAATTCTATGAAAGAAATTTGTTAGTTTAGCATTTATTTTCATAACTTATTTGTTTGAGAGATTCTTTATTATTTCTCAGATATATAATGTAAAGTTTTGGGCCGACGGCTGCTATTTTTATTTTTTTCTTTTTATGTCTTTTTTTTATTTATATTTTTCTCTTGCTTGCCTCTTCTTTCTTTTTTTCTCTCTTTAACTATCATTTTGTTTTTCATCTGTTTCAATGTAAAGTACGAGATAACTAATTACAGGACATTTTTTCAATCAGAATTAAATTTAAAATAAGTTTAATATTACTTTTAAAAAATCACTTTTAATTGTTTAGTTTTATTTGTAAGTGTCTTGATGTTTTATTGTTCTGTGAATTGAGAGATAATATTCTCTCAACTATTTCATTTTTATATTTGAGTTGTAGTTGTTTTTTTATGATTGTTATCAGATCTCTAGCTATTTTGGTGCAGTTTCTACTCCCTTTTATCTAACACTTGAAACAAAAACAATTATCGAGTAATGGGAAAATTGAATTAGAAGTGATTTGTTGATTCTAAGTGATTGAGTGTATTACCGCTGAAATTGTATTTTATATTTTTTGTATGGAATTGGTTAATATGGTGCTTCAAGTGGTTTTGAAGTTACTTTTAAATGAGTTAGAAAGTCAAAATAAAATATTATAGTTATGATAAAAAAGGTTGCTATTGCGGAAGTTCTCATAACATTTTTTTTTCACTAACCAAATTTTTCATTACTCGTATTTATCTTCTAAGCCTGATTCGTCCTCTATCAAATAGTGATGCTTACAAAAGATTATTGTATGTTCAAGAGATTCTAATTAAATTTGAATTAATACAAAAGAGAAGTGAAAATATGCTTAAAATAATATTTATAAACATGTTTTGCTGATCATAAATTCTCATATGAACGAACTATAGTTATAGGTCTTTTGGCTTAAACGTCCAATAATCAAACTACTTGTGGGAAACTGCACATATTTTTGGCTAATTATCCAACATGAGAATGTCTTCGACAAACATAAGGAGGTACCGATAGACGGTATCGTGACTCAAAAGAACGTGGTTATCAAAGGGTGGATGCGGACTTTGATGTGGGAAACATGGTAACCAGTATTCGGTACCCATTAATGATCGTTGAACTTACCCCTCAGTAGAACAATCCTTGGTATCTGGTTAAATAATATCCGATAAATAATATCTTGTTATTGTCGTAAGTAACTCATTCAAAGGCTATTGTTGATAGAGCTAAGAGATCTTCCACCACATTAAGTGCAAAATTGTTATTAGATGAGTTAGAATTACATTTCAAACTCGTTACATCAGTTAGAATATGAAAAACTAGAATTTAAAACATGTTTAAAAAATTTAGTCAAATTATTATTTTGTATAACTCGTTCAAATGTTAAGGTCTATCAAATTGTTTTCAGATAATTATTATTAATATTTGAACATCTCAATATATGATTAAGCAAGTTAAGACTTAAAATATGAGTATGAGAAATGTCATAACAATTTTTTCTCTATTAGAATTTTTATTACTCAAGCAGAATTGAACATTACTGAATAGGGTAAGGTTTGGAAAATATTATTATAAATAACATATGGTGTATCTTTAAAGTAATATCGTCATCGCTTAAGTAGTATTTATAATAAATTAAACTCGACTCCCTTGTAATTCAAATGAGGACAAAAGTAAAGCAATTTTCTCTCCTCCAACAATATATCACTTAAGGGTCATTATAATGTTAAAGTAACGTGACATTTGTTAGGTAGAAACAAAATCACACATCACATAAAATAAGAGATGGACATGTGTTTATATACACATAAGATACCTTCATTAATAAGAAGTCTTTTAGAGTGATACCAAAAACAAATTCGTGAGAGGCTTAGTCCAATTTGAATAATTATAAGTTTACCAGATATTAAATAATATCATGTTAAAAATCATACATCATTTTTTTTATATATACTTTTACTTTTTAGGTTTAATACATCATTTGGTCCTTACTTTTATCGTGACATCTCATAAGCACGTGGCACACGTTAATAAGTGCACTTAAATGATTTTTTAATTTAAAATAAAAAGTCTCTGCCACGTCATCATCACCATATCCAGACAAATCCTGATTTCTCTCCAAGAAACCCTAGCCGCCGCACCATCCAGCGTCGTCACCGCCATCCTCGCCGGCAGCCGTCCTCTCCAACGCATCACACGCCACCACCAAAGCTACGCGACGAGAACGCGAGAAACCCTAGGTCTCCACGGTTTGCTTGCTGGTTTGATTGTGGTTGCAGGTGGAGGCAAGCAGCGGCACGATTAGTGGTGGAGAAGAATGGCGATTCGCGATCTGTAGCAGCTGGCGATTTGGCCGGTGGTTAGTGGTGGACGATTATGTGGTGGAGATTAGACGGCAATGCTGCTGGCGCGACGATGATTTGGCTGGTGCGAGGATGAAAATGGTGAAGATTGGTGGTCGCGACATAGCAAGGGATCGCGTTGGGTGGTGGCGCGAGAATGAAGGTGAGATGCGAAGGTGATGGAGGTGCAACATAAGGGAGAAGACGCTTTGGTGGTGGCGCGTGATGTGTTGGAGAGAACGGCTGCCGGCGAGGATGGCAGTGATGGTGTTGGATGGTGCAACGGCTAAGATTTCTTGGAGAGAAATTAGGGTTTGTCTGGAGATGGTGATAATGACGTGACATTTGCACCGTTATGGAGTCTTGGTAGGATTACTTTAAACCAAACTCTTAAAAGTAAGAATCAAATGATGTATTAAATCTACTTTTTAAGTGAATCTAACATGACTACGATATTACCAGGCATATTAAAATTATGGAAAATTGTAAAATACAAATACCAAAATTATAATTGTGTAAATGCTAATTTAATTCAGAATAATAACTAATGGAAACATGTAAATAAAAAAACAAAGTTTAAGAAATTGGTAAATGAACTATTTTCTCTCAGCTTTTCTTTAAACATAATACACTCAAATACATTAATAAAGATGTTGTCATAATTTTAAGATAAAATTATAGATAAATATAGCAGTTATAAAAATATATTTATTATTTTTGTGTTGATAAAATATTTGATTTTAGATTTTAAGAATTTAAGAAAATACATAAATAATGTATCTCTTTGATCAGAGATTATAAACTGCAGATTTTACAGTTCCCAAAAATAATAGCAAAGGAAACAGGGCGAACAAAGGAGAAAGCAGAATAACTGAATAAGAATCAGAAGAAAGAAGAAAAAGAAAGAGTGTAGAAAACCCTAGAACGTCAAATGGCGGAAAAATTAGCCCCCGAAAAACGTCACAGCTTTATCCACAACGGTACTTTTTAATTTCTCCATGTTTGTTCTATTCTGTTGTGATTTTTCGTCAATTGAATCCGAATTAAACAAGTCTGTGTGTGCGCCTGTGATTCCAGGTGAAAAGGTGTTCGAGTGGGATCAAACCCTCGACGAGGTCAATATTTACATAAATCTTCCTCCCAACGTCCATTCCAAGCAATTCTACTGTAAGATTCAGTCCAAGCACCTCGAACTTGGCATCAAAGGCAATCCCCCCTATCTCAACGTAAGTATAATTCTCCTCCTCTTCATATCCTTTCTCAATTTTGTTGTTACTTTTTTATTTTATTTTATTTTTTCCCCCTTATTTATCTGTGTGTTATTTCTCAGCATGATCTCCCTTGCCCGGTGAAGACAGATTCTTCTTTTTGGACCCTAGGTAAAGGTTTAATCAATCCCTAATTTTTTCCCCTTCGCCCCAAATTGATTTGTATATATATATATTTTTGTTTAATCATACATGCACTTACGGTGTAAAAGTCAGTGTTGTTTATTGTGATCTAATCAGAAATACGATGAAGCCCAGATACTTAGTATGACATGGGTACAATACCACACGGAATACGACATGATATGTTAAAAAATTATAAAATATTTTATATAGATGTAGAATAATGATAGTTAAAGAGACATTGATCCTTTTTTATTAATTCAGAACTATGATGATCACAATTTACTAAAATACATCTGTCATAGTAACGAAAAAGTATAGCTTTTTCTATACCATAGCTAAGTGGATGAACAAAAACATCTATTGTAGAACTAAAGGTAAATATCGACTCTACACAATAGCTTACAATTCAGAAGCATTGCTAAATTTAAATTTCTATCTAATGTTAATTGTATGATTCATCTCTCCTCTGTTTATATCATCGAGAAAAGGCATAACTTTTAGGCCAATTTCTCTTATAACATGACGAAGGATACGATTGTTCAAGAAGCTTTAGACAAACTTTTTCCAATACTATTGGGAATTATCCAAATCATAATCTTAAAAGAATCAAATGAAAAGGAATTGGATACTTTTTGGATAATACACCTAAAAGTATCCCAGAAGTGTCTTAGAAAAGAATTATAAAATTAAATAAAAAAGTTGGATACTTTTTGTATACTTATTTGGAAGCATCTGAGGAGTATAAGTCTTTGACATGTGCTACACGATACACTCCCGTCTCTGAAGTATCGAGTCTCCATAGAAGAAATAGATATCTCTTATAAATTTATTGATTTTCATAATAATCTTTTAAGTTCTTGAAATAAGTGTTTGGCTTTGGAATGCAACTAGGAAGATTTTTTCTTTCAAAATCAGTGATGAAATAAGTGTAATTTGGTTAAGTTTGTTGGTGATGCTGATTTTGGAGTTCGACTTGCAGAGGATGATATAATGCATATAACACTGCAGAAGAGAGATAAAGGCCAGACATGGGCTTCTCCAATATTAGGTCAGGGTCAGTTGGACCCTTACTCTACTGATCTTGAACAGAAGCGTCTCATGCTTCAGAGATTTCAAGAGGAGGTAAGTTTTGCTTTCATCACAATCCTTTTCCAGGTGTTTCAATTTGGAATTCATTTGCATCAATCCCATGACGTGTAGCATGTGCTTCTCAGTGTCCTTTGTTGTGAATGAATGTTTTCACTCTAATAAACAGGAAGAAGCTCAACAGACACTTTGAAATAAGGTATGATAAACCGCCGTTCCCCAAATATATTTATCTATATATTCCATATCATCTACAAGCTAAAAAATCTAAAATCTATACAAGCATATGAGTTGGAAAAATTCTCAAAAGAAACGCAACTTTTCAAAATGTTTTTATTGTTTCATCCTCACTGTTAACAAAAAGTCGTGTTTCTTTTGAGGATCTTTTTTTTGTAAATTTGAGGAACATAATAAAGATGATGATGATATTGAAATTGAAAATTTTGCTAGATTGTACATATTACTTGGATTAGCCAAGTTTTATTTTTCTACTCATATGCTTATATAGGTTTTAAATTTTTTAAGCTTGTAGATAGTTTAAAAGATATGGATAATTGGGGTATGACGATTTATCATACCTTATTTCAAAGTATATGTCGAGCTTCTTTTGGTTTATTAAAGCAAAAAAATTCATTATTAAAGCGAAAAAATTCATCTTGTGGCACCTTCGGTTAAATTGACATTAACCTTATTTGGAAGGTGTCACATCATCATGTCAATTTCATTTAAAAAAATAGGAGACCGTATTGAATCTTTTTTAAAAAGTAAGGATTGAGTGAAAAAATATAGGGAATAAAACGAAACAAAGACCTAATTACAGGGATCTAGTTACTAAATAAGCCTATTGATTATTATTGGCATATAAGCCTTATTCCTGAGTATTTAACCCTTTCCATTCCAACCTTTATCCATACCATTTTAAGATAAAAAAAAAAACTACTTAATACTATTTTTAATATAGTTGTGTTGCCCTCAAGTTTTGGTACTGTTCACGTATCAAAGCACCAAAACTTCAATCATTGTCAAAGTTTATTGTTTCTCTGTATTGGATACATAGAGTATTACTTTTATACAATAGCTAATTGCCTAACTACTAATATTAAGAAGCAATCATCAACATGGATTCTAGGATATTAATTCTAATTATTTGATGTCACTTGTATACTTAAAAATCTTGTGTATTCTACTACTCTTTAAAAAAATAATGAATTTTATTATGTTTGTTTCTTTTCCTACTAGTTAATGGGCTATTATTATTGCCTTCATATTCATCTATTGGGTTTACCCATCTAGCTGTTAGGTTGGGTTCCACTATTTCCAAAGTGTGTTCTTTGGTTGATACTTTTTTTGGCCTAAGTAGTGTATAACATTGAGAAGAGGATCTGATAATTAGCAGGTATTATTCATTTCTGCGTACTAATTTGTGGGTATCTAATGTGGATAAAATTGATGTTAAGATGAAAATTGTAGTTTTTAAGATTGCTGACTACCAACACTTGATACTTTATTTCTAGATGATAAGCTCCCATTTTAGTGTTTGTTTATCCTCTCCAACAAATGTCAATGAGTTCACCTATAAATAAACATACATTAGACTTTTTCAACGATATTCTTGAACTTGGAAGATAATTTCATTTTTTGGTGCATCTGCTTAGATCTCGTGCGTACATGATATTTAAGATATTTTGAAGTTTCTTGCTAGAGTGTATCCAGAACTTTGAATCAAGATTTTACCTTTTTTTTGGCCAACATGGATTATTCTGGTCTGAATTGATTGTGTTGAATTTTGACACTCCCCCTAAACAAAAATGGAAATAAGTATAATGAATTAAAGTTCAATCAACTTGTGCACTTCAAGTTTTATAGAAGTTCTCTCATCTAATGTTGCATAAAATTGTTGCACATAAGCTGATTTTAATTTTTTGAAGAAGTTTGATTTATTTTACATTTCTATTTTCTAAGTGCTTCCCAAAGTCATGGCTTCTAGCTAGTGCTAGTAGCTTCATTACTCTATCCTTCCAACCCCATCCCTCCTCCTTTAATAGATGTTATTGCCATAACTTATGTAGAATACTACCCTGTCATCAGATGCATATTATCCTATCATAACGGAATACATCTTTTCCCTCTGTACGAATGTTCAAAAATCTGAATCAAACTGAATTGTTTGAAAACTGAACCAAACTGGAAAACCAGTTTAATTAAACTGAAATATTAAATAGTTTGCGCAAATGAAATTCAATGTTTTAACTGTTTTCTCAAATTTGAACTGTTTTTATGGTTCGGTTATGTTCAGTGTAATTATAAATTCAGTTAATTTCAGTTTCTTTATTAAAAAACAGTTCAGTTTTTAAATTTTAGTTGGGTTTGGTTCTTATTAGAAGGTGTGTTTAAGCCTAACTCAACCCCACAAAACCGGCTTGTAAGGTGAGGTTTGCACCTCACTTATATATTATATTTTGGCCTTATCTCTAGTCGATGTGGGACTTGCAACACATCCCCTTCACGCCGAGGTATAGACATCTCGTACGTGATAGTAGAAATTGAATGGTCCAATAACAGCCCGATAGCGGGTGGAATAGAAGAATAGAATGCCCACTTAGAACTCGTTAGGATAGGCTCTAACCATGGCTCTGATACCATATTAGAAGGTGGGTTTAAGCCTAACTCAACTCCACAAAACCGGCTTGTAAGGTGAGGTTTGCACCTCACTTATATATTATATTTTGGCCTTATCTCTAGTCGATGTGGGACTTTCAACAGTTCTTAACAGTCTGTTTTTTTTTTTCTGAAACCGCTTCCTGGCTTAGTAGAACTCAGACATTTTCTATATAAATACAATAGAATTCGCAGAATTCATCGACATAGTCAATAAGATAAGGTTTTTCCACTTATTCTGAAATATCTCGTAGTGCCTGTGGCAGTTAGTCCATTGCTGATTCCTGAATTTCTGCATCTTGGACAGACATAAAGTGATTTAAAAATTAACTTGATGATTATTAAATTGCCATTTGGTAAGGTTCAAGAACTGTCTGTTGCACCAGTTAAAGGATTGTGTTACACTATTGTAGCCTTAGCCATTAATAACATTATTTGATTTAGTTTATAGTGGAACAATCTTTCTGCTCAAAGCACCGTTCCTTATGGTTTAATGTTGTTGTTTGTGTGGAACCCAGATTTTAATAGTTCAGATTATGATGATCTTATTGCCTTATTCAAACCACTACTCATGATTCTGTTGTGCCCTCCTGCAGAATCCAGGTTTTGATTTTTCACAAGCTCAATTTTCTGGAAACTGCCCTGATCCAAGGACCTTCATGGGTGGAATCCGATCAGATTGATGATCTTAGATGCTGTTATGTGTATTTGTCTGCTCTAATATGATGATCAGATGGTAATAATATGTGATATTTGTCTCCTCATTTGATGTCTTGCAATTGAGGCAGTCTTGATTGACTTCCTCTAATGAATGATGACTAAACTGTATTGAGTCGTGGTGACTCTTGGGCATATAAGCATGTATATAAAACATGGAGCAATTCTATAACTGAAGGTATTTTAAAGTCTTCTGTGGATCACCAAACCATTGAGGAAGAGTTGGTAGCCATATAAAGTATCAACTTTTAGATTCGATAATACACAAAATTGATTCTACCTTACAAAAATCATATAGATTCTACGAAATAATTATTTGTTGGTTTCACTTTTACTGTTAAATGAGGTGAAAAATAACTGAGAACAAATTCATTTTGTTTGAACAATGAATGAGATTTTTTTGCTGTTTTAGGAGTTTGAACAATAAGGTGTCTATCATTTTTACGCTTCCGTCTTTGTTGCCCCAACCCTTTAAACCATTATCATGAAAAACATTGCAGTTTGAAGCATGTTTATGGAGTAATAGACTATTTGAGATGTTTTAACCTTTTTAAATGTATCTCTATATTTGCAAGTTTGGTCTCTTACCAAAACTTTGAATATTAACCTTTTTCATCTCTTACAACTAAAACATTTTCCTTTACATAAGAAGTTTTATAAGATAATCCTTTTACAAAATCAACATTCAAAACATCCTAACTCAAGATTAATATAACATTTATTCATTAGAAATCTTTACACTATTCTCATTCATACAATTAACTATAACATTTTATTTAAAATTCATCCATTATTCATAAAACAACAACGTATATACATAAAATAAAACATGAAAACATATAAATCCAGCACAGAGAGAAGATGGACGTCCAATAGAAATAGCAAAGTGACATTTAACACTCGGGATCACTTGAACTCATTCCGTACAATGGTAGTTGTGTCTAATGTCTTGCACAACTAGAACTTAATGACTTGGGTCTTGTGAGTGATGTTCAACGATTATATGGTACTGTCTAGCACTGTATAAGAGTCTTAGCTTTTAGTTTGACTGCAATAGGCTATAAATTTTGGCTATTTATGTAATTCTTGCTCTCTTTTTTAGTTTATAATACCTTGTTTTAGTTCAAAATAATTCTAGATAAAACAAATTGGAAAGTTTTAATCAAATTAAATCAGTTCTAGAAACTAATACTAATTCATTTCCAAAAACAACTGTCCAAGCAATAAAATTACAATTCAGTTCTATTACTATTCTCAATTTAACTAGTTTCCATTACTTTATATAAAGAGTCTTTACTTATATAAATTTCACACAAACCAAAATTCTCAAATAGCTCTAACTATAGAGAAAAAAGAGTTTTCATTAATTATTTGAATACACCTTCATGATCACAAAAATAAAGAATGAGCTAGAACTATCTTAATCCACATAAAAACCTCTTAAAGGTCACATGTAATAGAATTTAGAATTGACTCTAGAAAAAAAAAAGCAAAAATATAACTTATTTTATAAGCAAATCTTATCGGAGATATTTGTTACTTTTGACCTTAGACGTCTTAAGATAGACTCAAATCAAAATATTTTCAAAACATAGATGCTTTTATTAAATGAATCATGCTTAAATGAATTTTATTTATAATTTTAACTTTTTAATAATAAAATATGAGTATCATTTATAAAAATCTTTTCTATTAGGTTTTATAAGACTTCACATCAATCCTTAAACAAACACTTTATTAAAAATACAAGAAACACATCTACTATTTTATTAAAAATAATAAAAAAAGGTGAATCTCCTTTAAAATTTAGAAAAGTATAAATATTATTTGACTAATTTTAGAGAAAGTATATAATAGATTCCTCCTTTTTATATACCTATATATAAACGGATTCCTTTTTAGGTGTCCCACATCTATTTTTCAATTTTACCTCTTAAATAAAAGTTCTTTTAAATTAAAATGACTGTTTTATCAATTTTACTCCTTTAGTAACCGGTTCTTTACATTTGATCGATTTTTTTAATTATATTTTTTTAAACTTAATTAGTTTTTTAATTATAAAACCACCAACAATATAATATATATATATATATATATATATATATATATATATATATATATATATATATATACTAATTTAACA